CCTATCCCCAAATCCCTTGGGTTGCCCTGATTTTATCACTGCTTGATTAAATCAATGTCACAACCATCAACCAAAAATATTTCTTTTGTAACTCTGAAGTTAAAAACATCAACTAGTTGGGAATCCCACTGCTTCTGGGATTCCTGGAAAATCCACTCAAACTGCCTCAAGACACAGTTCACCCCATAAATATGCCTGCTTGGGCACTTCCACTTTGGTCCAGTTGGAATCAGGCAGAAACTCTGTCCAATTCAAGCTGGACCACTCAGTATTTCTGGCTACAACATAAACCAGAGTACTGAGCCCCATCCAAGATCCAGCTTTTCCCCAGACTGGAGCCTAGCTTATGGAACTGATACATAGCACCCATTGCAAATCCTTTAGTTCACTGTCTACTACCACCTTTATATCTTAGTGTGTGTGTGTGTGTGTGTGTGTGTGTGTGTGAGAGAGAGAGAGAGAGAGAGAGAGAGAGAGAACTTTTCATGTGTGTGGATTCCCCTTTTTATAAATAAACTAAACTAATTTGGAACTTGCCCCTGCAGTTCTTTGAGTTCGGAACTGATATACATAGGCCAAAAGTCCCAGCTAGAGTTACTCTGGTCCTCTTGCTGCTCCCTATTGAGCTAAATTAATTTCCCCATTGAATACAATTTGTGGCTGCCCTCCTGGGACCCTAGGTTTGTGGGTAACATTTACCATATGCAGACACTGGATTGGCCAATTCAAGAGTCCACGGACACAGCCCTTCACATTCCTAAAAGCCATTTTATGGAAGGTACTATCTATCTGAAGGTGCCCTTGAATTTTAACAGAGTATACACAGTGACCACTACGGAATATATTCTACCTCTAAACACTTTAAATAAGTATTAATTCTTATTGACTAACCTACTTTCTAGATGTAGAGAGATCCCGTAGAACCTTTGAGACTAACTGAAAGAAAGAAATTGGCACCATGAGCTTTCGTAGACTTCAGTCTACTTCCTCAGATGCTTTAAGTCTTTCTTTCTGTTAATCTCAAAGGTGCTACAAGATCTCTCTACATACTGATTCTACAGACTAACACGGCTATATCTTTGAATTCTACTGTCTAGATGTTCAGAAAAATTACTTTATGCATTTCTAAAATATGAAGAAATTAAGTTCAGCAATTTTCCCCCACGTGCAATTTGGATGTTGTGTGTGTGTACAGTACAGCAGTGTTTCACAGGCGGTCTCCCTGGGAGTCTTCTATGCCCCCAAACACAAGCAGGCCCACTGTTCTGTCTTCCATTCACAAGAAGTGACATGGGATTCCACTGCACACAAGTAATGGAAAATCATGTCAAGGTAAAGGTATTCCCCATTGCCAAGGTTGTCAAGTCGTGTCTGACTGTAGGGTGCTCATTTCCGTTACTAAGCCGAAGAGCCAGCATTGTCAGAGACTACTCTGTGATCATGTGACCAGCATGATTACACAGAATGCTGTTTATCTTCCCACCAAAGTGGTACCTATCTACTTGCATTTGCATGCTTTTGAACTGCTAGGTTGGCAGAAGCTTGGAGTAGTGACAGGAGCTCACCTCATCATGCAGCACCCAGGCCTTGAACTGCCAACCTGTCGAACTTGCAATCAACAGAGTCAGCATCTTCACCACTTGAGCCACTGCATCCCCTACAAATTGGTATATTGATGTCACTGGTACATTTCCAAATGTATAATGGTTTGCTGGAACTGTTATATGATCATGTAGCACAGATAACTATGTTGTACATGGCCTAAATACCTTAAAGACACCAGATCCTGTCTGATCTTAGAAGCTAGGCACAGTCAGCCCTAATTAGTCCTTGGATGGGAAGCTGCCAATGAATACCAGGTGCTGCAGGCTATATTTCAGAGGTAGAAACTGACAAAACCACCTTTGAGTATTTCTTACCTAAGAAAACACTATGAAATTCATGGCTCACTATAAGTTGACAGGTGACTTGAAGGTGCACGCGCGTGCACACACACACACACTGCACAGATCACTTTTTAATGCAAACTAATTCAACAGAATCACTTGAAATATGTATTAAGTCTATAATGTTTAACATCAGAATTAGAGACCTTCTAAAATCCTGTAGTAAAGTCTGATAACTATTCCATTGTATCAGTTTAATTTTCAAATTTAAGCCAGAGTAGATGCTGTCATTAGCACAGTGTATTTTTCCCTCTTGTCTTATTTCAGCCAGATATATTATCCTCTGCCATACAATAAATAGCTAGCCAGGAACTCTGCATTGGGAGGTCTGGCCTTTCAGGTATGTCATTTTAAGACCACCCTAATCGCCGAGGCAACAAGAGCACAAAGCCAAGGTCAAACAAAGCAACCCTCTTGTAATTAGATACTAATAGTGGATTAAAGGTGTAAAATTCACCTAAATCCACACACCAATAGACTAAACAATTCAAATGAAGTCAGCAATATTTGTTTTGTAAAAATACTTTCCACTAGAAATCATAAATAAAACAAATATAATACTCATGATTGACTGCAGCAACATCTGCTTCCTAGTTAATAAAACTGCACTTCAGTGGCAGATCCATGACTAAGCATTAAAACTTTCCTATAACAAATAACTTTAGAGTTAACTATTTTGAAATTCTGAAGTACACAGGCTCTCCTCTGTTAAAAATGAGTCCTCTGATATCAGCTTCCCTGTACTTTTGTCAGTTGTTGTACATCTCGACAATTAAATATTCATACTATATAATCTACTCTACCTGCTGGTTCTCTAAAGTACCCTTTACCTTCCCAATAAAAAGTTCATTTGATTAATGTGCTCTTTGTAGTTAATTTTTAAAACCACTTTTTATTAGGAATCATAAACAGCAAACAAGCTCTGTGCAATACAAAGTAGACAAGTACAACATAAAGAAAGTGCTTCTGATTTTCATTTCATCTCTTATTAAATATTTTTACATGTTTTTCTTTTAGTCATAGTGCAATAAACTTTCTGACTTATCCCATCTTTTTCAGCATCTGAAAATACCTTTCCAGAATTTTCATTAAAATCTTGGTGGATTGGTTGCATTTGAACTTTTGTTTATGTAATAATTATATGGAACCATTGCACAATAAATATGTGCTTCTTTCACCATTAAGAAATTTCAAATTACAAATCAATTTTTGCTCATTGTACTTAGCTCATGTATTGCAGATTTATTAGAATGAATGGCAATTCCTTGTCTTGGAAATAAGGTACTACTACTCTACTACTTCTGAACTACTTTTGAACTACTTCTGAATCATAAAGTAGTATGATTAAAACTTTCTACAAATCTTCACATATTTTTCATATTCAATTATTAATTTATAAGATTTATGTTCATGGTTTTATTCATGTGCTCCATATACATTTTTTTTATTCACACACATGCAGAATTTGATTCTTTCATGGGCAGGATGAAAACTGATTTACATTCTAATGCACTGATCCTTAACACATTTACTTGGAAACGGGTCCTATTGATTACAATAAAAGCTGTTTTTTAAATAAAGTGTCAAAGATCAAAACCTAGATTACTCTGTCTGCTGATGTATCTGGAAACCAAAATTATCTCCCTGTCAAAAACTCTGCCTTATTTCTATAAAGCATTTCTTACCTTTTAGGGTCAACAATTTTATAGAGTTTTCCATTGTGAGACTGTGTCATGCTTTTAGTACTAGCTAAGATGTAAATCTCACCTGTTAAGCAAACAAATACAATATATTAATAATGGTATTCTCTAAAGTACTTAATTGCTGGTATGTCATAGTGAACTGTATGATTTTGAAGCCAAAAATATTACAATAATTAACTAATCCATGTGTACAAACCTATGAATACTCTCAGTTCAAATATAAACTTGGAAATTTACAACTGTATTATTGCTCAGTTGAGGCTTACTTTGATGAGTTGGGTCCAAAACTTTACTACAATCTTTGTTTTGGTCCCATTAGATAAAATGCCAAGGTTTGTTTCTTACTCTGTGATCAAGCATGTGGACTTGTATAGTCAGACAAAAAGGCACTTTCAACCAATATAGATAAATATAGAAAAGACAAATGATGAGAGAACAACTTGGGGCTGAAAGACACAGGGAAAATAAAGTGGCTTCCAGCCACTTTGAAGGCAGCGGGTTTAAACAATGCATGAGGCAAAAACAGGTGGAAATCTGAATAAAGCTGTGTTCCAGGGTTAAAAACTGGAGCAAAAAAAAAAAGCTGGGATACTCCGTCTCAAGGCAGAAAATGCACATCTTCGCACCATATAAACAGCCAGTCGCTAATGTGGGACTGCAGCAAAGCAAAAACACGATTGCCAATAATGCAATAGATGTAATGACAACATACACAAAATACACAGTCCAACAGAGTGGCATGGGGTGAAGGGGGATGAAGTGGGCATGTATGGAGGGCCTCAATGAATGTGCTTTGCCACTGGATCCACTGATGGACTGTACAGGCGGTGCATCACAGGTATGACTGTATGGCTGATCATATGGGTGGGCGTCCAATGGAACAGCATTTGGGTGGGAAGAGGGAGGTAACTGGAAATCACTGGTGGTATGCTTGTATGATGGTGCGCATGCATGGTGGGAATGCAGCAAAAAATAATAGTCACACAGTGTGGCTTAATGCTCTGCAGTGCAGACAGCCTGGTGCTGTTTGGACAGTCTGGTGCAAACAGCAGGGGTTTGACCTGCTTTCAGATAACAAACTCGCTATCCAAACTCACTACAGAGGATAGTCTATATTTAACTCCATTTACACATTGCAATGATTTTTCTGAAGCACTAAAGTGAAAAGTTTTGCCATCTTTTTAAAATTTCTACATTGGGTGCCTGTGGAATAACTGAAAAGAAAAACAAGAAAATAATATATTCTTTAACCATGGCAATTTTCCCTAAGGGGGACATCTTGATTTCCCCAGCTTTTGATTTATTTAATTTTAAATATTTAAATATTATTTTATAATTACAGATTAGTCCTTGAGTGTGGTGTAGTGGTTTAAGCATTAGACTATGACTCTGAAGACCAGGGTTCAAATCATTGCTCAGCCATGGAAACCCACTGGGTGACCTTGGGCAAGTCACACACTCTTAGCCTCAGAAAACCCTGTGATAGGTTTGTCCTAGGGCCACTATAAGTTGAAAACAACCTGAATGCACACAACAACAACAACAACAACAACAACATTAATTGGGAAGGATTTTTAATGATTGTGGGGCAGAACTGACCCCTCTTTGCACCGGCTCAGGAAGGCTTCAGAGTATGGCATTTAGGTGCTGCACACTCTGATGCTGCCCCAAAGCTGGTGTCACGCCGCCCGCCTGACCACAGGAGGGGCAGCTTTGTGCATGCTTCAGGAGAGCCGCAAAGCTGCAATGCTGGCGGAAAAGCTGGGTTGGGGCCATGGCATGTGGTTGCTATGGCCCCAACTCAGCATTCAAAGGGGTAGCTTCAAGCTGCCCCTTTGGGATGGTCTGTTCCACTCCTAAGACTCAGACATATTTGAATCCTGAAGAACAAAGATCAACCCAAGATCAAACCCATATAAGGTTTGACTTTACTTACTGTTGGACTTTCAACAGTAAATTTATATAGATTAATTTGGATTTGGTATTGTTAATTATTAATCCAAATAATTCTCCTAATATATTCTTGAGTGGGATGATGTTACTTGAAGGATCTGAAAGGAAGAGCAAAATGTCATATCCATATAGATTGATTTTACAATATGTCCCTCCTTCTTCATTTGTTCCACCCACTGATATTTTTATAGTTTATAATTGGAGTTCTAGGGTCAGCATGTAAAGTATTGGAGAAAGAGGGCTTCTTTCTCTGGTTCTTTAACATAGATTGAGTTTTTGTGACTTACACTTTTTGACCAATACTGGGGATCCTCACAGTTTTTATTTTTAAATAGTGGCAACTGAGTCACACGTGTTCAACCGTCTCAGTTGCAGAAATACATATAACCATGAATGAAAGGTGGTGAAATACCTCGAGGGAAATAGAATCATTATTTTTTAGGAGGAGAAGTATTGCTAATTGTATCATTTATATCAAGTGTTTTCCTTATTGGATCTGCTAGGTATCTTCTAGCACAAGCCCTTGTTGATCTGGGTGGACACAGTTTGTTAATATGAATAAGTTTATACTATTAGCTAATATAGCTATCAAAATTTTCAGATATTTTGTTCCTCAGTTTCAGTTCATGCATCAATTAGCAAAGCCTCTGGTAGTGAAGTTCCTTTTTATAAAGTCTATCTAGCCACTCTTCCCAACCTCAGTTTTAAGACTCCATTGGCATAAGAAGGAACATGAAGAAAGGATGATGATAGATTATGAAGGAAGATTGTCAGTGTTGGGCTGCACCAGCACCTGCTTCCAGAATCTCTTATTGAACATGTGTGAATAGCATATATAGAGAAAATTAAAGAACATATAAGCATGCCTTATCATCTACCTCCAACAGATTAAAAAAAACCACACACAAAGATGTATACATTTGGCCACCAAACGGAAATCATAAAGGACCTTATCGCATGGGGTAAAAAAGCTGGCTTACCTTTCCTGAATTGAATTCAGGCTGCCTCCAGATACTATCATATGTAAATCTGGTCCCCAGAGCACTTCGGCAGCCATTTTTTTCAAGTCAGAAAACTCCCGACTTTGAAAAAGGGTCATCTGAGCGTGCCTTGGACTTGGGCTACATCTGGGCTGTATTCGGCCGGCAGATTCAGCAGCAGTTTACATATGATAGTACCTGGATGCATCCACAATTAGAATTCAATTTGGGAAAGGTAAGCCTGTTTTTTTACCCCATGTGATAAGCTCCAAAGAAAATAAGGATTTCTTTCTCTGGTTGTTTCATTTCACATGTGCATAGTGTTAATTTTGAATAAAAAGTTTGGTGAAACATGCTGAAGTGCTGTTCTTTTATGTCATGTCCCCATTCTTTCCATGTTCCCTATTTTTATCCCAATTCTTTCCATATTATTTCTGCCTCTGTTACCACATTCTCTGTTCAAGAAATAAACACCCAGATGCACATTAATTTTGTTAAGTGATGTATGCCAGCACCTTTTCTTAGTCTTAGCACTTAATGTGCATGCAACACATCATGGTGTAGTGGTTTGATAATTGGACTATGGCTCTGAAGACTAGGGTTGAAACCCTGCTCATTCATGGAAATCCATTGAGTGACCTTGATCAAGGCAAGTGTTGTATTACAAGTATTGTAAACCATGATAGCATATCTGTTTCTTTCTACTAAGCTTGTATAATAGTGTAAACTAAATGCATACAGGGCAATAACTGTGAATATTTCCCAAGAAAAAAGAATCAGCAGTCGTTCTGCACATATACTGCAACTGCTTTACATTATTTTATTTCTGTTATAGCCCAGTTATGGCTATCTATGCCCTTTTGGGTAACCTCCTGCTTAAACTACAGTGACATATTTTGCAAAAGGTTGTATTTGAAGATTGTTCAGAAGTTGTGAGTAGTCTCTTTGTAGCTGCAAGATTACTAATTGGGCCGATGAAACACAACAGTGGAACATGCAGCACCACTGGCTACCAAATTAGTTACAAACAAACTTCAGAAGTGCTAATGCTTATCTTTAAAATTTGACACAGATTAGAACTTTAAAACCTGAAGAAAGACCCCCCCAAAGCATCGGGAGGGGCTCTCTGTTGCGCCGGCCTAATTAAGGCCGATGCTTTGATTGGTTGAGAGGGAAGGGAGTCCCGCCCTCCCTTCGTCTCCCAACCAATCAGGGGGATCTCGTGAGATTCCCCCAGCAGCCCGTATAGTCTCGCAAGATTTTGGGCGGGATTTGGGGATTATTTAATTCCCGCTGCCACGTGGAGGCAGCCATTCCAAGCGTCAGCTGCCGAGAGACCCAACCCACCCATCCTCGGCTCTGCATGTTATTCACTACCCTCAGGCTTTGGCTGGTCACCTTATGGGGCCAGGAGGGAATTTTCCCATAGTTATTGTAACTTGGGTTTTTCGCCCTCCCTGAGGATATTGTAGTTTTGGTTTTAGAATGAGACAATTGGTATTGTTATTTGCATATGAATAATTCATGCCCCCATTCCTGTTCTTCTTCAAGTGAGGCAGTAGCTGTGCTGGGAGGGAACATCTGAAGATGAATGTTGTGGTTTGGAAGGTGAGGAAGCATAGGAACCTTAATTCTACTTGATGGAGCTTTACAGTGCCACATTCTGCTCCAAAATCTGCTAAGGATTAAACTTCCATGATTTTTGTCCCACATCCACTTTGGCAACCCAATTTGTGAACCATCCCCATAATAATTTATCGAAGGGCAGTATTTACATTTATTACATAAATAAAATAAAAATTCAGAAGACCTATCTTGGCTAAGTTCCAAAACAGCAATATACTAAGAAATAGTTGTCATCTTACCTAATTCATCTTCACCGAATCCCAAAATATGTCCTGAAAAGAAACCTCTACATGAACCACTGTTGCCCAAACAGAGTGGTTTCTCTTGCCACTGTTTGGTCATGGGACTCTGTTGCAGTGTTAAAAAATTTCTGTAAACACATAAGACAAATAGTTACATAGTGCCCTCTAGAACTATAAATGAGTCGATGTGGGCATTAAAAAGAAGAAATCTAAATCACGGTATTTACACTATACACCCATACTCACTTACTTGGGAGCACTGTGAGCTACATTATTGGTTGTACTGAGATCTTGAAGTTCCTATTTCTTATAAGAATAAATTGATATATGAAAGAGTCAAGGCTTTCATGTTAATTTAATTATTCCTATTATGTTTATCATAAATTTGAGGCTTGGATCTTATGGATAGTCACAACTAGGGCAGATCCATTTAACCAGGAGGATTTTCTGATGTTGACTTGCTATTCAACAATTGATTCAACAGGTCTACTTTGCAACTACCAAATAGAATTTAAGACCAAGAGTTAACCCAGAAATATTTTGATGCATGTTTTTGGATATAATTCCCAATAGGACTTCATGTTTTTAGATTCTTATAAAAGAAGATAGTGCAAATACACCCACTCTAATTTTTCACAGTGAGACTGTCAGTGACATTCAGAGACATATGCCACTATTAATACATTTTATATTTACAATGCTTCTGTTTTTGAAGTATTCTGTGAACACTTTTGTTTTTACTAAATGCATCTGAGGAAGTAGACTGAAGTCTATGAAAGTTCATGCTGCCAATTTCTTTCTTTCTGTTAGTCTAAAAGGTGCTACAAGATCTCTCTACATACTAATTCTATACCCATTTGCCTTAACCCTTTAACCCTTGATGGATGTCCAAAATTTCATTTATCAGTTTGTGAGTGGTGAGGGGCCCTGTCTCCCAACTTCAAATAAATTCACTCAAAAGTATTTAAGTCTTAAAATGTCATCAGCAGCACTTTAAATAGAATGAAAGACAAATAGGTAAGCAATACAACTCATATAATATTGACATTATATGTCCACTGTATCTTGTCCCCTGCATCAGTTGATGATTCTGAACCATTTTCAAAAGCAGCTCCCACAGACAACACATTACAATATTCTAATCTAGATCAGAACATGGCAAGGATTTTGTTTTGTTTAGAATACAATTACTCCTAGTGTTGCTATCTTGCATCTTGGAGAGTATAGGTGTCTCAATCCAAAAAGTAATTTTCCAACCTCTGGTCTGCTTGTGACCAGAGCATGGGGAATTGAAGCACAAAGGGTTGCCTCTGGTGAATCAACTTAAATTGGTAAAAGGTACAATCTGAAACCAAGACCACTTCTGCCATGAGGTTTTGGGTGTTGAATCCAAGAAAACCACCAACTAGCAGGCTGAGTTTTTCAGGCAGAAACTACCCCAAAATAGTTACCAATCCTTACCCTCCAACATTTAACAGAAATTGGGACAAATGTCAAGCAACATCAGAGTATGGTTAAGTTTGCAGACATTATCAGTGAGGAAGAACAGACAAACTAGAAAAAGTTGCAGCAATCTGCTTTTGCCAGAGTTTACAGGAAAAGGAAATATCCCCCCCTT